TGGTGATGGAAAAATAGTACAATGGGTAGGGTGCTTATCTTGCAGTTGGCCAACCAGAGTTTGACATCTGGCACTTTATATCTTCTTTTGTGCCCAACCAGAGATGATTCCTGAGCACAGAGCCAGGAATTAGCCCTGAGCAGTGTCCTGTGCACCATTAACCTCTACAAAACCCCCCTCCAAAGTTAAAGAGAAAGTCAGAACTTCATAGCATATAATCTCTGTCTATATCTGGTCTCCGTACTAGTAAAGAAGAAAATTGTAATGGCTCGTGAAGGTTCACTGTTTCATAATACCAAGTGCCTTGCATTAGGTTTCACTGAGTAGGGAAAACTCACATTTAGAGAAAGAATAGGATGAATCAACCAGATTGTCACACTGCTCACTCTTGGGGAAAGTTAGAGCCTGGAGAAAAGGAGTACAAAAAAATGTAGAAAGTATTTCTAAACTACAATGACAAAGGATATGCTTTGTCACTTATAAAAATGCTTCTTACCTTTATATATTTGTGGGTTACAATAAAAGAGGTGACTTGAAGTATTGCTACCTTTCGAAAGGAAAAACCTTTAATAATAGTTTTCTCAACGTGAAGTATAATCAGAGTTTATTTTTAAATTTTTTTGAAATGACAGAGATGGTAAAACCACACCTAACTGAAACTTTATTGTATAACAATACATTTATTTATTGCTCTAAAATGTCTTTCTGCATACCCAACATAATCAGATATGCTTTCTTTGCTTGCATAATGAAGTATCACTGTATTACTATTAACAGTAGTGTACAAACATTAATAACGCTCCTCAATAATTGATTGTACACAATTAATAAGGACAATCATCTTTATATTTCTTGAAAATCACCTGCATTTCTCTTTCAGTTAAAACTATACTTCATACATGGAAAAAAAGGAAAGTAAAGAATAACAGTGCTTAACAAGTTGCCAGAACACATTATTTACAGTAAGCATGTGTGCTTAACAAACCAAATATTTAATATTTCATGCATGAAAAATGGGCAGACATAACATTCATTAGTATTCCAGGTGAGGCAGAACATGCAAATTTACTCAGCTATTAAGGAATGAGTCATATCCTATCTAATATAGCAAAATAGTTTATGTATATTAGAGTAAACAGTAAAATCACAATAGGAAAAAAATGGATTTGGTTCAGATGTTGAGCTGCTATGTAAACCAATTATCTATCCGGAGGGAAACAGCTCTGTCTACAACTACTTAGGCTCTAGGGCCTATTACAAACCCTGGAGTGGGCTGTTGTTTCTGTTCTCAAGGGAATTTACCACGTCACACTAGAAATAGCTGACAATAATTAGAAAGCTTGCTTCTGCCAGTATTGCACACATTTTTAATACCTTCCTAAGTATTATGGGAGATAATACACAAGGTCTTTAGAATTCTAGTCATGCCACAACAAGCCATGGAAAGGACAACTAGACAATAGCCCCAAACTGGACTGTGACAGGCTAATTATTGTGGCTTCATTATAAAAACCTCTTTTTACATAGGTCACCTGGGAAGTGTAATTAAAAATGCATTATTGGTGTATTTTTTATTGAAGCAATTAAATTAAAAAGCCAAAAAAATAATTATATGAGGAGCAAATAATAATGTTGGTCAACAGCGTTTATCTAAGAAAGAGAGAACACGTTAGTGGTTCATTAGCAGTAAATGTGTTAACGGGAATCTGTTTGAAAAATGAGCCATAGAACGGCTTTTAAATACGCAGATTAAAGGATTTATAATGTCAAGTTTAACACAGAAATTACAGATAGTATTACATAACCATGAGTAATAGCACCTTTAATCTGACTTAGTAAATGATTTACATCACACTTTGTGCTGTTTCAGTCATATGAGTATTATATGTGCTACATTTCAGATAGATAATTTCCCCTACATTTTTGCACACTTATGAATCTGTTCTTCCTGTTTTCTAATTATGTGGTATATTTAAATAATTAGATGTTAAAATATGTATCTTCCAGGGGCAGAATATTTTCCTTGGATATAAGTTCTATGTAGGGATACTAGAACGTGGCACCATTTGTTTTTTAAAACTGTGGTATAGTGCTAGACATATCACAGAAAATCAACACTTTCTCATCTCAAAACTTCTGATATTTTATATAATCATCATTATCTCTACAGTTTTAATGATCATAATCATTAATAATAAATGAATACTTCCTACTTGCCAAGTATTAAGCATGTATTGTATAGATATTTAATAGTTCAAATAACCTTAAGAAAATTACATTTTATCTCTATTTATAAAATAAGATTAAGCAAATTCATAGATGTGGAGAAATATCAGTTGAAGATCTTTGAATGCTAAGGTGAATAATTGAATGAGAAAAGTAAAAGAACAACATAACTTCTATCAAAATTAGTGAAATCTTTCACAGTCATAGAACAAACTATTAGCTATTTCATACTATTAACATTTGTATGAAATGACAATATCCCTGAGTATACAAAACAATATTGAAAATAAAGAAAATGAAAGGTTTTGTGCTTCTTACTTAAAATTGTTTTATAAACCTATAGTAATCAAACAGTGTGGCACTAGAATAAAAGCAACCATTCAGACAAATGAAACAGAATTGGGAGTCAGAGATAAACCCTTTCTTGTATAAACTGTTAATTTCTTAAAGAACACAAGAAAATAAAATGAAAGAAGGAAAGCCTCTTTAATAAATGGTTCTGGGAAAACTAGTAATCAATATATGAAATATTGAAATAAAATATTTTATATCATGCACCAAACTTAACCCAAAACGTTTTAGAAACTTAAATGTTTGATCTAATTGACAAAATATCCAAACTCAAGGGAAACAGGCAAAAAACTATAGAATACTTGTTATTTCACTGTTATTTTTAGTGATCCAACTACATTGTCAAGGAAAACAAAAACTAAAAGTTGAGTTTAATAAAGACCTTCAGTACTGTGAAAAACTCTATGAAAATTTCTCACTGAGTGTCATCATTCTGACAAAGGAATAATGTCCAAAATATATAAAGCACTCATAAATTTAACAGAAAAAAATCTCATCAAAAAACTGGAAGAACTACATAGACACTTCTCAGAAGATAACCAAAAGACACATGAAAAATGGTCATTATAATTTATTATTGAGAAAAATATAAATCAGAAAACAATGAGAATAACTATACCATCAAGAATAACAAGTTATAAGGACCAGAAACAAATGTGTAAATAAAGGAGGTCTCATTTACACAGGGTGGGTTTGTAATCTGGTTCAGTGTCTGTGGACAACCATATGGAGATTTCCAAGAGATAGTACAGATGCTAAGGTAGCCTACCCCAGTTCAAACCTCAGTACTGTATATGTATGTTGAGTATTTCCAGGCGTGATCCCTCAGCACAGAACCAGGAGTGAATCCTGAACACAGTCAGATGTGAACCAAAAACAAAACAAACAAACAAACAAAAAAATTTAAAAATAGAAATACCATATGATCATGTAATTCCATTCAAAAATATTTATCCAAAGAATACAACATTGCAAATATGAAATAATATGCACACTTATGATTTATCAATACACTATCATACTACTATTTAAGATAGCCAATATCTAGAAACAACCCCTGATCTTATGCCAAGTGCTCACTCAATGACAGATGAATGAATAAAGAAGTTATGCCATATGTATGAAATGTAATACTTCACAACTATAAGAGAAGATGAAATATTGCATTTTACCATGCCACGAAGAAAGCTTGTGGAAGCGTCGTACTAAGCAAAATAAATCAGAAGAAAAATGAAATAAATTATAAGGCAAATAAATCAGAAGGAGAAAGAAAAATACCAGATGGTTACCTTCAGAAGTATTTAAAGAAACAAAGCAATGAAATAGGTAATATCCAATAAAAATAATTTTTTAGATTCTAACAACAGAAATGCAACACATAATACATGAAAGCATTTTAAAATGTTAAAAGTTAATTTCAAAAATCCAGATTCTCGGATATCAACGGATTTGCACAAAGTAAACATTCTTCAAATACACAAAAGTCAACTTGATTTGACCATAGCATTTATCACCTCACTCATCTGTCACCTGTGCCTGATCTTATGCCCGTGTTTTATAAACATGTCAGAGGACCAGCTCAGTACAGCAAACTGTGTACAAAGGGAATAAAAATTGCTGCATTTTTTCCCCACTCAAGTATCCTTTACATACCATCTTACTCACTTCTGCACTTGGTGGGGGAAGAGTTATTTCTGATCATCTTCTCAGACCTTCTACTTAATGTCTACCACTCTTCACTTTAGCTAGCAACTGTTACCAGTTGCTAAAAATAAATTCTTAACAAACCACCTATTTTTTTCTGATAAAACATAAAAAATCATTTCTAGCATTTATGATATGCAAAAATTGATTTTTAAAAGTCCTTTGTATATCTCATTTGTCCTCATAATAAACCATCACTTAGGTATAAATATTATCTGTTTTATAAATGAAGAAAGTTGAGACTCATAAAGGTAAGGAAATTGGGTAGAGACACAGTTCACAAACAGATGGGCTGAGATGCCAAACAGTCTGTTTGTCCCTGTTTTAGTTTTGCAGTGTCGAGAATGAGGATAGAATCTAAGTTTCTTGCAGGTAGGCGTGCACTTTGCCACCAAGCCACATTCCTGTTGTTTTTTTGTTTGTTTTATTTTGTTTTGTCTTATTTTGAGGGATGGACAACCACATTCAACAGTATGGGCTACTCCTGGTTCTGTGTTCAGGGCTGTTTAGGATTATGCCACGTGCAAGGTAAGTACCTTAACAACTGTATATCGCTGGCCCAAGGTCTATTTGACTTTAAGTTTTTACTTTTCTTTCAATGTGCCTTATAGCCTCAACTAGAATACAAAAAAAGTATTATTTCAAGTACACTTAGGTTGACAACCCCTGACAGAATCCATGTTTTTAATATATACTTTATAGGGTGTACTGATTAGGAATCAGTACTTCTGTCTTACAAAAGAAGCCCTCCTCCACTGAACTCCATCCTCTCAGGAGGCTCAATGAAGGCTAACCAATCTGATGCATGTGTAGGCAGTAGTCCCATCGACTGGCACTTATAAACAGCCAATGCCAGACCCATGAGATTCCCAATGAGATACACCAAACCCTGAAGAAACTTCTGGCTTGAACTCTTTAGCATCTTGAAAGTGGCTGAAATGGCCATAAGTGCCTGAATGGGTCGCCAAGCCATCATACACACCATCATGGTAGGGAAGATGGAGATAGTATTGCCTGCCATGTACATGATGAAGAGGTTCATGGGAATCTGTTTGAGGGGACCCAAGGCGATGTCCCAGCAGTGCTCTGTACCTTCTCCACCAGGATCCGGTCCGTTTCTTGCACGCTGGTGTCAGGCACTTGCTTGTCCAAGTAACCGACTGGATAGAGCGAGTCTCCCTGTCCACCTGGCTGGAGCGATAGCACAGTGGTAGGGCGTTTGCCTTACAAGCGGCCAACATGGCCGACCCGAGTTCGATTCCTCCGCCCCTCTCGGAGAGCCCAGCAAGCTACCGAGAGTATTCGATATGCCAGACACAGTAACAACAAAGTCTCCAATGGAGACATTACTGGGCCCGCTCGAGCAAATTGACGATCAACGGGAGGGCCTTTACCTTTTACCTTTTACTGATTAGGAAAAGCTCATATGCTTTTCTCACTCTCTACTTCTCGTGATAAAGAAAAATAAAGTTAATCCTGTCATGAATCCCACTGAATTCCATGACAATTCCTGAAATGCTTGTCCTGAAATATGGAATCTCTGGTATTTAGGAACTTGGCATATAAAATAAAAAAAAGGAAAATATCACTTAAATTTTTTTCTGACAAGAGATAGGAATTTCAGGACAGATTCATTCATTCTGTTAAAACCACCCCAAACTTTCCCTTAAGAGATACAAATCAAAGCAAAGGTCCTCACCAAAATGAAAATTAGAACCCCTTCAGATAAAAGAATATAAATATTGTCTGTGTTTGGACCAAGGAAACTTTAGTGGAAATATGGCTTATCTAGGAAGCACAATGGTGTTGAAGAGATGTCACAACATTATTGAACAGGATTTAAGAAGGGTAAGGGCCAGAGTAGATGGATCTGTCATTGTAAGAGATTTTGTGAGGCTTTAGACAAAAGTATAACTTCTTCAAGAAGGCTCTGAAGTATAGCAAAGAATTAAGTGTAGAAATATTTCATATTTATTACTACTATTTCATATTATTTCATATTTATTACTACTACATATGTATTCCTGTCTGCATTTTTGTGTTGATGGAACATTTTGTATGGCATCTCCTTATTGTTGTTTGTTTGTTTTCCCTCATGTTATAAGTACTATTGAAAAGCAATGTATTACATATTTTTCTTTTTTTAGTTGTTTATTATGGTTCATTAGTATAAATTATTTAATCCAAAAGTGATGATAAATATGACATATTCTTATAATTAGTTTTATTATTTTTATGTGATTAAAGTTAATATAAAGATCCTCCTTTCAAAATTATATCAATTTAAGTAGTGAGATTTCTTTGTGGGTTTTTTGGGGAATGGGTTGGGTTTTGGGTGCCACACCTAACAGCACTCAGGTATTAGTCTTGGCTCTGTGCTCTCCTGGTGGTCTCAGGAAAATCCATGGAGTCTGGGGATCAAACCCTGGTTGACTGAATGCCAGACAAGCATCCTATCCAATGTACTATCACTCCATCACTGCACTGAGCAGTGAGTATTTTCATCAACTTGAAAAGGAAATAAAGGGAAATTGGAAGGCAATTAAACAGATTTTTCTGTGATTAGATGGTGGCTAGAATAAGTACAAGGCTAAGGTAACAAAGAATAAATCTTATCAATTAAAGAATGATTTGTGTCTCAGTGATTTTGTGGGGCAAGGAGAGATAATAAAAATTTTCCCAAAATTTGAAGTCTGCGTTATAATTTTAATTTACTACAAAAGGAAATTTGGTCATATATTAAAGTTAAATAATAATATATATCTAATTAGGATAAAAAGAGGTAGTTGAGAAGTTTCTGCTTGAGGTTGAATGTACATGGCTGACTCTAGTTTGATCTCTGCATATGATCAATGCATATGCATATGGTAGCACTGCATATGGTCCCCCAGCATGGCCAGTAGTAATCCTTGAACACAGAACCAAGAGTAATCCCTGAGCACTTCTATGTATGCCTAGCACCACTTCCCCCAAAAAAGACTTAGTTTGTGAGTTTTAAATATTGATATGATCAAAGAGCTATTAACATATTTAATTATCTATTGGTATTTAATATAATGGCACTAAAAACAGTTTTTATGGATTGAACAAAGCTTTGACTTACATTATTGGTGCCCATATTTCCACTAATCATGTATATCTTAGTGCTCTGATTTCAATGTTGACTATAATATATTTTCTTCTTCTTTTGAAACAGGCCTATGAAACAGAATGAAATAAGTCTTGACGGGAAATCACTCCTGAAATGCTTGACCATATTTTCTGTGGAATTAAATACTACAACCTAACAATGCAAAGCTGTGACAGAGACCTGTGGTTCCAGGGCCTTCGTTGCTATACCTAGTGGTGCTCTGTCAGCCATTGGTAATCTGAACTAGAGTTCAGATCTGATTTTTTTTACAGCATGTGGCTATCAAGTACAATATACAAATATTAAATTTCAATTTACCACTGTCACTGTCCTTCTGTTGTTCATCGATTTACTCAAGTGGGCCCAGTAACGTCTCCATTGGAGACTTTGTTGTTACTGTGTTTGGCATATCGAATACATCACGGATAGCTTGCCAGGCTCTGCCATGCGGGCGAGATACTCTCGGTAGCTTGCCGGGCTCTCCGAGAGGAGTGGAGGAATCAAACTCAGGTTGGCCATGTTGGCTGCGTGCAAGGCAAATGCCCTACTGCTGTGCTATCACTCCAACCCTTCAATTTACCAAGTCAGATTGTTTTTATTTAGAGTTTTTTTTCTGACAACTTGTTTTTTTAATTGTTTTTTCATAAAGTAGTGCACAATATTTGATTACATTTAATATTCAAACACCAATCCCACCACCACTACACTTTCCCACCACCATAATTTGGGTGTTTCCATTCCGAATCCCAATCCCTGCCCCAAAGCAAAACAAAAATAATATAATATTTCCCTCTAAGGTTGATTGCCTCCTACTTTGAATTCTATCAAATGTGATGTGGAGTATGGGTAGGGTGTATGGTATGAAGTGTCATGGGTGGGTGGTCCAAGAAGACTTCACTCATGGGTGAGGGTCAGCTGAGAGTATGGAGAGTGGCTGTGAGGACGGTGGCTATTGAGTTCTGGAGGTTTTCAGCTGCCCGGGATGGGTCCCTTGGGGCAGAGAAGTGTCTCACCCACCCTCCTCTGGGGTGCCTTGACTGAGACAGCCTGGTACAGGGTTCGGCAGCATGGTTATGGCAATGCTCCCCTCTGGAAAAGAAGGACATGCGATCTGGATGGTGGCCAATGACAAGATTATCTGGAGCCAACTAGGGTCGGCTTATGGGCATGACTGCTGAGTTGCCAGAGAAAGGGGGATATGGAAAACAGAGGATCTCTGTTCCTGATCCCAGATGACTTTTTTTCTGACAATAAGTTCTTTCTAAAAACTGAATGTTTATTTTAACAAGAATAATGACAAACTGTTTTCAAGAGAGATTGCACTACTATCCATTACCATCAGCAGTATATGAGTCATTCACCTTTGTTCGTTCTTACCAGCTTTTAATTTAGTCATTATCGCTTGTATTGCTTATCATCCACTCAATCTTCGAATTGCCTGAGCAGGCACCTGTAACATCTCCATTCGTCCCTGTATCATGCTAGTGTAGCCCAATGGTATCTGCTCGCTCCAGGAATACGAAGCGTCTCAAACCATTTGTTCAGGGTTTTGACGAAGAAGTCTCACCATCTTGTAGATGGGTGATCATGAATCCTTTTGACGTCCTGTGGAATCCAGTTAATAACAGCTCTAGTCCAGTGTTCATCTCCAAATTGCATTACGTTTCTGGCCCATCTGATTTTCGACTACTTGGCAAACGAGACAGCGTCCCTGATTCTTGATCATCGATGGAGGTCAGATCTCCAGATTCCTTCTCTCACTTGAGTGAAGAGTGATACTCCAAGCATAGCTCTTTCAATTCCTCTTTGGGATACCTGAATAGCATTCTCATCCTGTTTTAATAGGGCCCAGGTCTCTGAGGTGTATGTTAGTTCAGGAAGAATGGTGGAGTCGAAAAGATGTGCCCAGAGCCAGAGGTTCTTCATTCTCGTAACCACTTCTTCAATACTCTTGAAGGCGTCCCACATCACACTCTTCCTCCTGTAAAGTTCTGGTGCCAAGTCTTTTCTCAAGTTGAGTTCTCGACCCAGATACACATAACCGCTGCATTTGGAGCTAATTGTTTAGTTGAGAGCAAATGGAACATCAGGGATGTTTGTATTTCATGAACATTGTCTTGGTGAGATTCAGCTTCAGTCCAATATTTCCATATTCACAGTCAAAGTCAACCAGCATTTGTGCCGTTTGGCTGATGTTTAGTGTTATTAGAATGATGTCATCAGCAAAGTGGAGGTGGTGTAGTTGCCGACCATCTATCTTCACTCTCATTTCTTCCCACTTCAGTCATCACATGATGTCCTCGAGGGTGGCACTGAAGAGTTTTGGTGAAATGGTATCACCCTGCCGAACCCCTCTCTTGACATGGATGATCACTTCCTTGTAGCATGGTGAGATCCTGGTGGTGAATCCATAATACAGCTCAAGGAGGATCCTGATGTATGGAGTTTGAAAATTCTATTTGGCAAGGGCTTCAGTGACTGCTTTCATCTCAACAGAATCAAAGGTCTTCTTTAAATCTATGAACATTAGAGAGAGCGGCATCTTGAACTCTCGTGAAACCTCAATGAGTTTGGTCACAATGTAGATATGGTCTATTGTGCCGAAACCTTTTCAGAGTCCAGCTTGCTGGCATGATTGTCCTTCATCTAGTGTTCTGCCTGTTCTATTCAGGATCACTTGAGTGAACAACTTGTAGACAATGGACAGCAGGCAGATTAGGCGATAGTTGCCGATGTCGTGGATGTCTCCATTCTTGTACAACAGAACAGTTCTGCTGGTTTTCCATTGGGACGGAAACTTGCATTCAGACAGGTAGCTTTGAAGAGCCAATCCAGTGAATTGACGAGTATTGGCAGCAGATTCTTCAGGTGTTCAGGTCTGAGCTTGTTTAGACTGGGTGCTGTTCGCTTCTTTATTGATGAAATGGCGTGTCGGATTTCAAAAGGGAGAACGTTGGGAATGACATATTCATCCTGCAGAATTTGGTATGTGGGCAGGTGGACATGGCTATCGAAGAGATCTTAGTAGAAATCATGGATAATCTTCTCCATT